GTGTGTGAAAAACTGGTCATTAATGGTTGTAGACTTCAAACACTACAATAAAAAATTAAATGAATTGTTTAGACAAAGTTACACATACCTCTTTGTTACATCCATTACCATATAAAAATACGGAAATTGCTCTTTGAACGAGTGACATCTGACGTACTCTAGACTTCAAAACCATGCTTGCAATCAGACACATCAAAGGTTTCTTCTTTGACTCACTGCCACTAATGATGATGTTAATAATCATTATTGTAGTAGGCATCATAACATTTAGTTCAGAAAAATTTGTTTCCTAGTCAACAGGTCCAAAAATGAGGGGTCACGTAGTACAATATTCCAGGTTATTTTCCGTATACTATTATTCATTTTATACAGGGCACTCAATGGGCTTTAAAATGTAGGAGCCCTCATCTCTGTCTAGGAAGAGAAATATACAGGTCCCTGGTTTTGTAGCTATTCTCAATCATTATACCTGTATTTCTAGTGAGTATCATCCGGATTGGAGAAACTTTGGGCGGAACATTTACCATTTGATTGTGGGGTACTTGCACTCCGCCATTTTACCATTCCTTTGTGTATAAAAATTACTCATCAATGAAAATTTTTAAGTTTTTGAATATTAATAACAAAAATATTACAAAGTTTTGACAAACTTCCCGGGTTATTTTGAGATTGTACAAGATTTTTACTGTCCAATAGTACAAAAAAGGAAGTAAATACAAAACTTTGCCTGGAACATTCTTGAAGTAAAGACAAGTAATTATCAGCATTGATAAAGCATAGGCTGTTGTGATAAGACTAAGTAAGACCTTTCTTTTCAGTCAGAGCTATTTCTACTATCTTTAAAAGCTTATCTGACAACAGACAAAGGCCTGTTTTGAGCTAAAAGAACTTAGAAAGACAATGTTTACAATGTTTAGGCTGAGTAGCCAGTAACATTCACATCAAAAATTTGACTTACACGAACATCTTGGTGTCTCAAAGAAGGGTACAGAAGATCAAACAAATTTTGTAAACATCTTAAGCAAACAAACTATAGCACAGGGATTCTTACAAGGCGTAAATAAGGTTGTCCATTTCCCTGGATTTTCTCAGCACACGCTTGCCTTCCTAACAAACACATATGAGAATAATAACGTTTTCACTTGAAAGTATACACTTCTAGAAAGCCCTATGAAGTCTCTAGAAGACCGAATTTTGTACGAGATAGAAGTTATAGTGCTTTAATAGAGACCTTGTACCAGTCTTCATTTCTCCACCATTGCTCGTTGCTATGGTAATTATTAACTTATTCAATGAATATCATTAAAAATGCATGACCGCTTATTCTATTTCATTTTCTGGGCCTGAAATGTTTTACGCCTTCATTAGAGTTCCGAAGAACTGAATTATGCTTTTTGGAACAAACAGATCTAAATTCCTGTTTATTGAGGGATGAAACCTGCTTAAGAGGCAAATGAATCTAAGTTTCTGCGTGCTAATCTTTTGATGTTTTCCTTTGAAAAAGGAGATGTAATATCAAAAGATTGCATACCAGAATGATATTGAATGTTAACATAACAGAAATTAGAATATAATAATACTTTTATTTATATACTTACAGAAACAGAGTCAGAGCTTTCATTTTGTTGCACAGTCTGTTCATCAAGAGCAGTGTGACCAGTTTTCCTTGTCTTACTAGGAGGACCATCATTGTCGGCTGTAGGTTGATCAATGGCATCATCAAAGCTCCAATATTTAGCAATAAGACTCAATAATTCTTTTGTTGTAGTTTCTACTTTCTTGCTTAATTCACATAAGGATTCAGCCTTTCTCTTACACTTGTAACAGATGAATCCCTCCGAGCTTGTAAATGTTGATAATTTTCTCTTATATAGTTCATGAAGCACATCTATGGCAACTTTAGTAACTGATCCAGTCAATTTGGTCAAGATTGTTCTGTTACTGACATCAGACTCACAAAGAAAGCACTTACATGTAGACTCATTTACAGACATCATTTTTTACTATAAAACATTAATTTATTCAAGCAAAATAAATTAATACATGTATGACAGGAATGCCTTCCTATTCTCACTATCCTGGTACCAGCAATCTTTTGAACAAGTTCATTTAAGTGAAAGTACCAGACTCTCCTTGCTGCTCCGTCCTTGCGGCAGGAGGGGCTCGCTACACAAGACAATGTCTGTGACAATTTTCCCACTTGATGATATGAAGTATCCCACTCTTGAAAAACTTTTTCTACAATAATAAGTATTCTCTCTCCCATGTGGGCTTTCAAATGAACAAACAGCCAGGGTTCCTTTCAGCCGCTGATGATTCAATAAGAAATGAGCTGTGATTCCAATAACGGTTTCCGTCATACCTTTTTTCTCCAAATGTCACAACATACTGTATAAGATGAAATGTTGATAGGGATTGTATATTGGCAGCAGTGTCTCCATATTTCGGGATTTTTCCCTAGATTTAGGAATTTTATGTCCCATTTAGGGACTAGGGAGGATTTTATAAAATGTCCAAATCTAGGAATTTTTCTACATATTACTGAATTAATGATATTCATAGGGAAATAACTATATTCATTCGCTTAGATAATAATATTCATTATAAAAGGGGTGTGGTTTCTTTTAATTAATTGATATAGGAGTGGTCAATTGCCAAAAATTTAATCATCGTTAGTGGAAATTTAAGGACTTCAGTAAAAAATTTAAAACTTTTTGCAAAAATCAGGGGATTTATGTAAAAGTTTAGGGATTTTCTTAAAAATTTGACTTAAGGGATTTCTAGGGGAAAATTTTGCTTCATATAGTGAATTTTTAAAAATTTCATCTGGAGACACTGATTGGTGGATAGACAGATTTATATAAAAATGCCAAAATGAAATCAGCAAGCAATAATTCCATTCAAGCATGTGATCACACCCACATTATTTTAGTTAATAGCATGGTTAAAAGTAGCTAGCTAACATGGCTTTACTATGTTTCTTTAAGCCAGTCTTTAACCCAGGTGATAAACAATGCAATCTTCCAGAAAAGGTACTTTCTTTCTCTTATAATGATGTTCTCCACGAACCACAACTGCTTAAGTAAAACCCCAACTAAGGGTGGGGATGTAATTAAATGGTTAGAAACTGCCAATATTAAATCCACCAATAAGCTAGCCATCACAAAACCGCCAAAAAAACTCCAGCCAACAAATCATCTTATACAGTAAGTGAATTTTGTGATTTTTTAAGCAGCTGAGATATCTTTCCTTTTACTTGAGCCATAACTGATGAGTTTGATCTAATAGCAGCTCGATCTGGGACAACATAATGTGAATCAAGTTCGTGTAACAGTTATTGATACTCCTGGTTTCCACTAAAATAGTTGCAACATTTGAACAACCAATGAACACGGCCAGCTTCTTTGCTATTTGCTGATACTTTATACTTTCCTTTGTATATGGAGCAGGATTAAGCATTGAAGTCAGACATGGCTGGTTCTTGTGAGTCTTCTTAAACTTTTCCATACTGTCACTATCTTTTGCGAATCTTTTCTCTCTCAAGGAACACATTATAATCATCAGGATGATATTTGCTTAAGTGTTGCTTTCGGTTAACTGGGTTTTTACCTTTAATTTCTTTTCCACACCCAACTTCTCAATCATTCTTGGCCTTACAGATACCTAACTCTAATTCCGCTTCATAAGTAAACATGTCACAAATACAACTGGCCTTTTGTCTACCACTTTGTGTGGATTGGACTGCCATGATGACTTACAATGCGGCTGCAACTTATTATTGATTATATAAGTGTGGCAATAGATCTACATGTACTAAATATAGCACAACACCTAACTTAAGACAGTAAGACTCAGCAGAAAGGTGCTAGACTTCTATGTTTTAGTTTGAACTTTAGCCACTTTAGTTACTAATAGTTACCGTAGGTCGGGTTATATTCGCGACTGCTAATATTCTCAGTGATAAAAACTCGCGGTGATAAAAAACTAATAAAGAAGTTCAATTAAATACCATGGAAACGGTTAGATAGTTGCTATGACAATTTGACCACGTGTTTACATTAGGATGGAAGTTATCTCAGCTGCCAAAATGACTATGGTTGAAGTATCTAGCTGCATTCGTGGTCTTCATGTTTACAATGAAATATGGGAGCCTTGTAAAGGTGAGGAGCTGGTGTGTAGCCCACAAAGGAACAGTCCTCATGATTGCTATGCTGTGGCTGTATGCAAGTCAGGTACCATAGTGGGACATGTCCAAAAATTAATATCAAGACTAGTTTTAACCAAATCTGGCACAGTAATAAAATGTTTTGTCACGGGTACTAGAAGGTACTCCAGTGATTTGGTTCAAGGTGGTCTTGAGGTACCTTGCAGGTTTAAGTTCATAGGAGGAACTCATGAACAAATTGCCAAAGTTGCAGCTCTTTTAAGAAGCACTGATAGCAGTGTCTGCTCTAATGTCACAGAAGAATAATAAAATAATTTTAATTAAGTGCCAGTAATATATGTTTGTGTGTTTGTACGTATGTATATTCTTTCTCTATCTCTTTGAACAATGTCTCTTCAAAGTGAGGATAAAAGATCAATAGAATCTCACTCTTCAGAGTGATGTTAAAAGATCAATAGAATCTTGCTCTTCGGAGTGTTGATAAAAGATCAATAGAATCTCTCTCTTCGGAGTGATGACATTATGTATGTCAATTATACACATACAAACATAATTCAATGAATATTATTTGTTAAATCTATACAATCATTGTATATAATTTCATTTGATAAATTAATTATTTTAATTAATAATAAACAATTACTACTTTCTTATTATTGTATTTTGGGTGTCAGGACTGTCCCTAAACAAGGTTTTGTTCTCCACTCCTCTGCTCCTTAGTTCACCTGTCTATTGCTCTTTATAGTAACAGTGTACTTTTAGTCCTGTAATAATAATAATCAGTTATTAATAATAATGTTTTAATTTTTGGCGCCATAAGTACAATTTAATAAAAATGGCTGAAGGTTTTGGGGAAAGAGAGATAGATCTCATTTTGGATGTAAGTATTTCTTTTGCAGCTTACTTCTTAAGTTTCATTTTTTACTTGTACAGGACGAGATGGAGTATTCTCCACAAAGAGACGGCAATTCTGCCAATTTGACACCGCCACCTGCTCCTTGTTGTCAAGGTGGTTTCCTCCCCGGGGTGGCAGAGATACAGGAAGAGGAGGTAAAATCATTAAAGTGGACATGGGTCGTCTCACAATGATGTAGATGGGGGCGAATCTGGTGTACGTAATGACGACCAAGATAATGCTTATGGAGGAGCTGTAGAGCCACACCAGGAACCGGGAAGAGGCAGGGGAGTTGGACAAGGTAGGGGAGATGGAAGAGGAGAAAACAAGGGAGGTGGAAGATTTAGAGGAGGAAGCATGGGAGGTGGACAATGCAGGGGAGGTGGACAAGGCAGGGAAGGTGGACGAGGCAGGGGAGGTGGACGAGACAGGGGAGGTGGATGACGACTAGGTCATGGTGGTGGAAGGTGGAGAGCAAGAGGACAAGGAAGAGGGAGGGAATTTTACAGCCAACGTGGCCAGTGGAGAGGAGACACCACGGTTACTGAATTGCAACTGCTACTCCAAATACTTAATTATATTATAAATAATAGTAATAGACGTAATTACAGATATTGATATTAAGTTAATAATAGGCCTATTTATTTTATCTATTACTACTGTACATGTACATTATAATTATTATCATTATTTTAAACCATATTTTTAAGCCATATTTTTAGTTCAGTACTATAGTATAATTATTTTTTTTATAATTAATTTTTATGACATTATTTATTATTTATTAAACAAAAAAGAACTAGTTTAACAAAGGCATGTCAAATTGAAGTCCATTGCTTAGCAGCAGCAGCATGCATCATTGTTAAAAGCCTTCTACACTTCAAATTTTCTAGCTATAGAGTACAACTCAAACACATCATACATGTACATATAAAACATAATACACAAAATAAGTTGATCTTATCATCGTTCGGAAGAACATGATTAATATTGATCTTATTACTCCGAAGAGCGTGATTACAATTGATCTTATCATCACTCCGAAAAGTGTGATTAATATTGATCTTATCATCACTCCGAAGAGCGTGATTAATATTGATCTTATCACTCCGAAGAGCGTGATTAATATTGATCTTATCATCGCTCCGAAGAGCGTGATTAATATTGATCTTATCATGACTCTGAAGAGCGTGATTAATATTGATGTTATCATCACTCCGAAGAGCGTGATGAATATTGATCTTATCACTCCGAAGAGCGTGATTAATATTGATCTTATCATCACTCCAAACAGCATGATTTATTCAAAGAGAGAGAGAGGAATACATGTACATACATTGCACACACATACGACTCCAAGACATTAAAATCCCATCACACATAGCAAGCAATCACACATAATAAACACATAATAATTACATGTACTGTACAAAAACTCATTAAATTTATATGCTATTAGCAATCTCCACTAACGAGTGAGATTTTACTACTGGGCCCACCTTCCATCCCCAATCTCCATTCCATTATTTTAAATAGAGTCAAGAGGTTTATAATCGTAATATCTACCACAAAAGTTTTGTGGTTTTAATTATCTACTGTAATATCTCTTTGACTATCCCAGAAGACACATCATGATCAAGTACATGTACAGATTTGTATACTTGTACATGTATAATCACATAACACATATATCTGTTATTCCTGCTGATCTGAACCCATTCTTAATTGTATCAGGATTGGCTTGCATGTAGTCATAAAACAATTTAAGCCAATGTGCCCCAAGAAGCTTCATTGTAGAAAGCCTAAACACTGGCGGATCCAGAAAAATTAAAAGGGGAGTTCCATTTCACTTAACTAGGTGTGGCTCATTAATTTTAAT